ACTGAATAAAAAATATGGATAACTTGAGTAATATAATCAATACCTACATGATGTTCACCTAGATTCACCAATTGTCAGTATTTGTTACATTTGCTTTTTTGTCTCTCTCCCTCTACACACACACACACTCTCTCTCTCTCTCTCTCTCTCTCGAGGGTTTATGACATTTCATTCCTAAATACATTCATGAGGGAGAAACGCATCATCAGGAGGCATTGTGGTTTGTATGAATATCATACAGGGCAGTTATGCAAACCTGGATATATAGCCTGCTACACAGATAGGCTCTCCGGTACATACCGTCATGTATGCAGTTCGGTGTTGACTGAAACGAGGCTACATGTACACAGCTGTACTCAGCTTGTATCTCCTAGAAATAGGGACATTCTCTTACATTACCTCAATCATCAGACATACAGTCCACACTGAAATTTCTGCGGTAGTTCCAATAGTGTCCTCTATAGCTGCTTGTTAAGAACTTCTAAAGAATATGCACTTCATAATGTCATATCTCTTTAATTGCCTTCAACCTATAACATCCTCTCTCTTTCTCTCTTCGTTTTTCATTCTCTTTTTCTTTGCCATTTGTCTTTCAAGACCTTTGCAATGTTCTGGCTAGTTGTCCTTTGACTTATAGACTGTCTCACAATCTTGACTTGTCTGATTATTTCCTCATAACTACACTCAGGTTAAATATTTTTTGGTAGAAATATGTCATGAATGATATGTATTTCCTATATGTACATATGTGTTTGTCATGGTAAATTTTGTCACTTTGTTAAAATAGTTTCCATTGGATCTCTTCACTGTAAAGCTTCAGTTGTAGGAAGAATTTTGGTCTTTCACATTCCCTGGTGGTGTTACGCCCATGAATGTTATCTTATATGGTAAAAGGAACTTTGCAGATGTAATTAAAATTAATAATCAATGGACCTTAATATAGGGAGATTATCTTGGATGTAATCACACGAGCCCTTAAAAGTAGAAGAGGATGTGGGTGTGGTGGCGCATGCCTGTAATCCCAGCACTCAGGAGGCTGAGGCAGGAGGATTGCCACAGGTTTGAGTTCAGTCTGGGCTCCATAGTGACTTCAAGGCCAGTCTGACTACACAGTGAGACCTTGTCTCAACAAACAAACAAACAAACTCTAGAAGGAGAAGGCTGAGGGTGTAGTTCAGTGGTAGAGCATGCCTAAGGCCCTCAGTTCCACCCCCAGAAACACACACACACACACGTGTGCATGCATATGCACATACACAAACAGATACACACACATACACATGACAGTGTAAGAGAGGAAGAAGTCAGAGATCCCCATCAACTGAGAAATGGATAAAACAGATGTGTTTTTTTATATAATGGAGTACTATTCAGCCATAAAGAAGGATAAACTGGAGACTTATAGGTAAATGGATGCAGCTTGAGACCATACTCATAAGTAAAAAAAAAATCAGACTCACATGTGTAAACAATATATTGTCTCTGTAGTGTGAGAAGCTGAAAAAGTGATCCAAAATGTACAACAGATATTGTGAAATGGGAAGAAACTGTTCAAAAAGAATGAAAAACTGGGATGGGATAAAGGAGAAAAAAAGGAAGGGAAAAGAAAAAAAAAATATATATATACAAGATAGTTAAGACAGTTATACTACTAATTTCTCTTAGTTCATTGAAAAGAAAGGTTTGCACTAATATTGTTTAGACAATTAATGCCAATATCTTGTATTCTAAATAACCAATTTAAAGATAACAATATGCAATGTATTACTCATTGTTACTCTCCTATTATCTTGTTTTGAAGGTTTGTTTTATTTTTTTTCTTTAAAATAAAATTTTTAAAAAGTCAGAGATTCCAAGCAGGAGAAGGATTTGAGGTACAGTGGCTCGAAGAGGACACGTGGCCAAGGAAACAGGGATCTCAGTCTTACAACTGCATGGAAGTGGATTTGGTCAATAACGAAAATGAGTTAAGAAATGGATTTGTTCCTGGAGCGTTGAAAAGAATCCTGCAACACAGTGCCAGACTTCTGAGCTGCATCAAATATGTGATAAATTTGTGTTGCTTTTAACAGGTAAGTGTATAGTAACTTTTATGGTAGAGATAGAAAATGAATACAGGTAATGTTCACACTGCAATTAATATATAATCTGTGTAGGATTTTTGTGGATCATGTGAATACTGGGCTTCTCAATGCCTAAGGATCATCTATTGATTATCCTTGCTTATATTAATTATTACTTTGATGAGTGCAAAATGATTTTCTTTTATTCTCACCCCAATTATTTACTTTATTTCTAGATTTTTTGAGATATAATTAGCAAATAAAATTACATTTATTTAAGGTATACAACATGAATTTTTTTTCCAGTGCTGGGAACTGAATCCAGGGCCTCACTTGTGCTGGGCAAGACTCCACCACAGAGCTATACTTCAACCGGTGATTCTGTGTATGTGTGGGACTAGGAGTTGAACTCAGGGCCTAGCTCGTGCTAACCAAGTGCTCTACCACTGGACTACATCCCCAGCTCTAAAGAAATATGGAAAGCTTCACAGATATGCATGTCATCCTTGAGCAGGGGCCATGCCAATCTTCTCTGTATTGTTGCAATTTTAGTATGCGTACTGCGGAAGTAAGCATCATAATGTTTTTGTGTATGTGTATACCGACTCTTACCGTAGCAAATTTTAATTATATAATACTAGAATATGCAGTATTATTAGCTTTATCAAGCATCATAAAATATTATCAGCCATAGTTGCCATGCTGTACATTAGATTTCCATAATTTATTTACCCTGTGTGACTGAAGCTTTGTAACCCTTTGCCAACATCTAGACAAATTTATAGAGATCCAGAGTAGATTTGTGGTTGCCTGGGGCTGGGGTAAGTGGGTTGGGAGGAAATGGGAAGTGGCTAGGAATACTGTACAGGGTTTGATTTGGACATGAAAATGTTCTCAAATTGATTGTAGTAATGGATGCACAGCTCTTCTTGTATCCTGATGGGGGCTGGTTGCTAGGGGAACCGACCTTGCGTTTAGAGGGTTTTCAAGAGGTATTGTTTACATATTGGGCGATACATATAAGACACCTGTTAGTCCTAGAGGGAGGCGTCCATTTACTCATCCTTATCTTCCACTGCTTCCTAACACATACTGCGTTTGCTAGACTGGCTTCCATTGTATTTCTTAACTTTATTTCCTACATCTCGAGGCTGAGCTTTAAGGGCTTGCCCAACCTCCTTCCGGAACACTTTACAAATCAAGAGGCCTTTCTCTATTTCAGTCGGTAGTGACTTCTTTGTCTATCGGTTTGTCAGTTAATCTCATAATTCAAACAATCATCGAATCTAAGCAATGAGATCATTAGTACATTCTTTTGAATATGTATCAAGTTTTCATTGCGTGTTTCCCATGTGCCAAGAAAGAAGACTTGGCTTCATAATCTCACCTACGCATCACAACAGCCCTATGAAATATGTCTTTTATATCCAAAAGCTGAGGCTCAGAGATGTTAGATAATTTGCTCAAAGCCACAGCGACTGAACTGGGAATTTAAATTAGGTGTAATCCCAAACACTGCATTCCTGACCTCTATTAATAGTTTCAGTTGCGCTGTATGCTACTGTACATAAGTACATCTCCAGTGCTCAATAAATATATCTTTCTAAAAAAATATGGGGGTGCTGGAGAGTGAACCCAGAGCTTCATTTGCGCTAGGCAAGAGCTCTGACACTGAGTGACAGCCTAAACCCAGCACACTTATTCACTAAGTGGAGCTTCAGCTAGCTGAAAATACCAGTTACTTTGAAAAGCATTTATATATTTGATTCATCGGTAACATATTTATAAAGGATCAGTAAAGGAAACAAAACTATTTGGGTCCATCCTTAACCCTTAAGATATCTTGGTGGAAGAGAAGCACACCTTCACAGCCCTTGTTACTTACTTCCTTATGCACATGAGCAGATTGGGCCGCACGGATTAAGGATCTGACTCACTGTGACAAATTTTAGCTTCTTCAGTTTGGGCTTCTTCCTGTTTACCTTTGCTTGCAGCCATCTCTCCCCTTCTTGTGCATTTGAATGAGGTTCTAGCACTTGTGGAAGGTAAGTTTTGAATTCCAATTGGCAGCGGGTCAGGTTTTATCTGGAAGGTGATTAACAATAATTACAGTGTTGTCAGACTGCTTAGGCCTCTGATCCTCAGCTTACTCATCAGTGGAATGGAACTAAAGGAGCTGGGGATGCAAGTCAGTGACAGAGCGCTAACCCAGCATGCAGGAAACCAAAGGTTTGATTCCCAGCAGTGGAGGGGAAAAAAGAGAGAAGGGGGAAATAAAGGAATTAAACTCCCTCATCCAATAGGTTAATATTGTCAGACTTTCAAATTTGATATTTATATGCAGCTGGAAACACATTCTGGAAAGATCGAGGCCTAGAAATCTAGATGCGCTTAATTATTTATGTACAGGTGGTTTCAAGCCGTTTTTCATTCTCTTGCTGTCTGTCTCAGAAACATCCCCAGTCGAGGGTGAGAGCTGAGGGGTCCAGGTCAGATGGCTGCTCATCATTTGGTGTGGTCCCTGGGAAGGATTTCAGGAATGGGGAGAACTCACGCAGAAAAGAAAGCCAAGGAGGACCGGGGAGAGGGAGGTGGACACACGGGGTGCTGTTTCCCCCTCCACTATTCACACACAAATCGCCTCTATCCCCGCCCCGTCCCCTCTCCCCAGAGTCACTGATTCTGACCGACAAGGCACAAGGGCGGAAAAAAAAAAATCCCATGGGGTCTCCAGCAGGAAGCCTTTTATTGTCCTGCTCTAACAACCAGCAAGGAAAATTCGAACACCCCCCCCTCCGCCGCCGCCTTCACTAACCGCCACGCCAGGCTTGCTGTGGCTCGTGAGAAGCGGTTTCAGGCCCCACGCAATACCTTTTGCAAAGCTAAGTGGTGTGTGTGTGTGTGTGTGTGTGTGTGTGTGTGTTTTGTGTGTAGGGAGGAGGATTGGGGGTAGAATCCCATGACGTTGCGGGCTCCGCCTCCTGGTGAATATAAGGGGCGCTTGGCGCGTAACGACCCCAAGCAGCTGCTTTGAAGCCTGAGCTACGGAACTCGGCATCCCTAACCCAACTCGCTTAAGTCTGCCTCAGAGCTGGACCCCAGATTCTCTGCTCCCTGGCTTGCCACATCTCTCAGGTAAGCCTTCGGGGCCAGCACGTGTGTCGGGGAGAGGGGGGCCGGTGAGGGTCCTCGCACACCTAGGATTCTCCGGCAACCATGGCATGCAGTTGCATCAACGCGGCCGTGACCTGTTGCTGGCCAGACCCGGGCCCTGGGAGCCAAGGGTACCATCTCCACCCCAGCCCCAGACCGTTCCTAGATGGAAGCATAAAAATCTGGGAACTGGGTAGGAGAGCATAGGGCGGGACCCCTCATTTCAGCCAAGAGGGGAGTGAAAGCAATCTCAGGCTGCTCTGGGGCCCCTCCAGATCCGGGCACGTCTCCAAATCTTAGATGTGGAAGCTCCGCCTCACTGGTGATGCTCGCAGGTCAACCTAGCGGAGCGGAGGAAGTGGGGGGGACATTTGCTGCCCTGGGCAAAAGCTGCGCCACTTGAGCGGTGTGGGCTCGGTGAGGAGAGGTGCCACTGAGCCGGTTCGCACTTTTTATCTGTAGCGGAGATGGGGTCCCTCTCCGGGGCGATCTGCTTCGAGCCCTGGGGTTGAGCCCTGAAAGGAACCTCGTGAATATTGCATGTCGGAATGGGAGGGGGTCTCCCAGACTTGCTGGCTTCTTCGGAGTTGAGCTCTACTTAATTCCCAAGGAGCCACAGGTCAGGGAGCAGTCATATTGGGTTTCAAGGTTCCTGGGTTGGGGTCTAAGATAAATTCTATAGTTTCCTGGGCAGGGAAAGAAGAAACCTAATATTTTCTGAGCACATACTGGGTGCCAACTACTATACTGCAAGGGGCTTTCACCTGCCTTTTCTGAAATTAATCCTTCCACAAACCTTGTGAGGTATTGTAATCCCTACTTGCATTATTGTAATTCCTACTTGCATATGAAGAAACTGAGGTTAGAGGTGAAGTGACTTGCCTTTGTCCCCTCAGCTCCCCCTCCCTTCCCCCCCCTTAGCTCCTCTGCTTGGTGGAGTGGGTCGGAGTGGGTCTTGTAATTCACTTTCAGGCTTTAGGAATGGTAAGCCCCATTGAAGGGTTTTTGTTTCGTTTTTCACCAGATCCTAGCATCCTCTTCAATTCCAACTAGAATGCTGTGGCAGGCACTTCGCAGATTTGGGCGTAAGCTGGTACGGAGACGCATGCTGGAGCCAGGTGTGGCTGAGACCCGCCTTGCCAGATGCCTCAGCACTCTGGACTTGGTGGCCCTGGGTGTGGGCAGCACACTGGGTGCAGGCGTGTATGTCCTGGCTGGCGAGGTGGCCAAAGATAAAGCAGGTCCATCCATTGTGATCTGTTTTTTGGTGGCTGCTCTGTCTTCTGTGTTGGCTGGGCTGTGCTATGCGGAGTTTGGCGCCCGGGTCCCCCGTTCTGGTTCTGCGTATCTCTACAGCTACGTCACTGTGGGTGAACTCTGGGCCTTCACCACTGGCTGGAACCTCATCCTCTCCTATGTCATCGGTGAGAGTGTGGGCCAGGGAGGGAACTGCAGAGCCAGCGGAGGGGTTTTGGGGCAGGATGACTGGGTGGAATAGTGAAGCTGAACTATTACTTTTCATGGGACCTCAACACACATGATCGTGAATGTGGGAGGGTTGAAAAGATGGAGAAATTGTTTATTATAGTCACGTCTCTCTGGGTTTCCTTCAATAAGTGACTGGTTTGGGTTCTTTCAACATTAAGAAGAAGGCTGGAGGTGCGGTTTGATGGAGCGTGTGTGCCTGAGGCCCTGGGTTCAATCTCTAGCTCCAAAACAAAACAAAACAAAACAAAACAAAACAACATCCCCCCCCAACAAACAAACAAACAAACCAACAAAAAACTCTCTGAAACCAACCAAACAAACAAACAAAAAGTAAGAATGAGAGCAGTGGGTGATGCCGGCAGGGATTTGTGTGAGACTGGTGTGGGACAGGGAGGGAGCCTGTCTCCGTGTTTCTCCCTCTGCCCTACCAGGTACGGCCAGTGTGGCCCGGGCCTGGAGCTCTGCTTTTGACAACCTGATTGGGAATCACATCTCCCACGCTCTGAAGGGGACCATCTCACTGCATGTGCCCCATGTCCTGGCAGAATATCCAGACTTCTTTGCTATGGGCCTCGTGTTGCTGCTCACTGGTAAGGCAGGAGGCAGGATAGAATGGTGGGTGTGGGACGAGGCTTGGGGCCATGGACAAGGATGGGAGCTGAGCTTGGAAGGAGCTTGATGGAGGTGATAATGGCGGAGAGGAGAAGCTGAGAAGGAGTGAGTCTGCCCCGTAGAGCCAGGAAAATAAAGCAAAGTTTGGGTCGAGGACTTTCTTTCCTTCTCAGTGTTGTGAATGAATTTTTCTCGCAGGATTGCTGGCGCTGGGGGCTAGCGAGTCGGCCCTGGTTACCAAAGTGTTCACAGTGGTGAACCTTTTGGTTCTCGGCTTCGTCATCATCTCTGGCTTCATTAAGGGAGACCTGCACAACTGGCGGCTCACAGAAGGCGACTACAATTTGGCTGTGGCCGGACTCAACAACACTGAAAAGTTAGAGAGTCACTCTGCAGAGCTGGGAACATGATGGGGAGGGAGGGGCTCCATGCTGAGGGGTTAGGGTGAGGGCGGGGGAGAGTGGGAGGCTGGGTTTGGAGGCCGAGTAGTTTGGCATCAGAGAAAGACATGGAGGTGGCCAAACGTGCCCTGACCCTTTCCATTCCTTCTTCCGCTCTAGCTTGGGCCTTGTGGGATCTGGAGGATTTGTGCCTTTCGGTGTTGAGGGGATTCTCCGTGGAGCAGCTACCTGTTTCTATGCGTTTGTTGGTTTTGACTGCATTGCTACCACTGGTAACATAACCACCCCGTTCTGTCCAGGGATTGGGTGCAGTGTGTACTGAGGGTGCAATCAGACTGAGGGTGGTAGAAGAGTGAGCCTGCTTCCCTGGCTGAGAACTTTTGTGCTGTGTTCTTTCCTGCAGGGGAAGAGGCCCAGAATCCACAGCGCTCCATCCCCATGGGCATTGTGATCTCATTATTCGTGTGCTTTTTGGCGTATTTTGGTGTCTCATCAGCACTCACCCTCATGATGCCTTACTACCAGCTTCAGCCTGAGAGCCCTTTGCCTGAGGCGTTTCTCCATATTGGATGGGCTCCTGCCCGCTACCTTGTGGCTGTTGGCTCCCTCTGCGCTCTTTCTACTAGGTCAGTGTCAAATGTTTGTTTTCCAGATGGGCATAGTGGCGCATACCTGTAATTTCAGCTACTCAGGAGGCTGAGGCATCAAGCTAGGGCAATTTAAGGACACCTTGTCGCAAAGTAAAGTAAAAATGAAGGGCTGGAGATGTAGCTCAGTGGTAGAGAGCTTGCCTAGCATGCACGAGGCCCTCGATAAAACATCAGGTTCTGTCAAAAAAAAGTTTATTTTCCTTGTGGTCAGAATCTCATTTTGTACTAAAAATTACCGCTTAGTACAAAAGAATATCCTTTAAAAGGGCCGTGGAGGGCAAGTGGAAATGTCTTAAGCATGCAGGCTTGGGAAGAGGTATCTCAGGCAACTCATGCCGTTCCGGGCATTCTCCTCTGCAGCCTCTTGGGCTCTATGTTCCCCATGCCTCGGGTGATCTACGCGATGGCAGAAGATGGGCTCCTGTTCCGTGTCCTTGCCCGCATCCACAGCAGCACACACACTCCTCTCATGGCCACCGTGGTCTCTGGCATTATTGCAGGTAACAAGTCCTCCTAATTATTTCATACCTCCTTTAAAACTTTGCCATTTCCTTCTTTCACTTCTTGTCTTTTGCCCCTCAATTTTAGCTTTCATGGCGTTCCTCTTTGAACTCACTGATCTTGTGGACCTCATGTCAATTGGGACTTTGCTTGCTTACTCCCTGGTGTCTATTTGTGTCCTCATCCTCAGGTGAGACCCTTTTCTTCTGCATATTATGATTGGGGTTTTTATTGGGCGAGGAAGGATGGGGATCTGCTCTTTCTCCCTCCTCTGCCTTTGTCATCCTGATTTTCCTTGATGAGTCTGGGTTTCCCACGCTATTCAAAAGAGCTTTCAAATGGGTATGGCGGTGCACACCAGCAATCCCTGCACTTGCAGGAAAACTGCAAGTTTGACCCTAGCCTGGGCAACTGTGACTTAGTGAGACCCTGTCTCAAAATTAAAAACAAGAAAAGGGCGAGTGATACAGCTCATTTTGAAGGCTGTGAATATTGCAAACAAACAAACAAACAATCAGTTACTCTTAATGGCGATGAGGGAGGTGAAGCTACCTGGGAAAAGATGGTAAAGTGGTTGACGATTGTGTTTCAAGGGGCCTACTTACTCTTCCCTCAGGTATCAGCCCGACCAGGAGATGAAGATGGGGGAAGAGGAAGTAGAATTGCAGGAGGAGCAGATACCAGAAGAAGAGAGGCTGACCCTCCAGTCACTGTTTTGCCCACTCAACTCCATCCCTACTCCACTCTCTGGCCAAGTTGTCTATGCTTGTTCCTCACTGATTGGTGAGCAGTGGAATTTTTCTTTTGAGGTGGATTTGAGGTGTCCGCATGCTGGGGTGGGCATGTTGTTAGTGGCATTTGGTGGCTGAGGAAGATCTAGAGAGACAGCAACCCCCTTGGGCATGGGGTGCCTAACGTCTTAGCATGTTGGTCTCAAGGATTGGTTTTGATGTCTTTCAACTTGACTTTTGAAGCTCTACTGCTGACCGTCTTATGCCTGGTGTTGGCCCAGTGGCAAATTCCACTGCTTTCCGGAGACCCGATATGGGTGGCGGTGATTGTGCTGCTACTGCTGCTCATCACTGGAATCACCGGGGTTATCTGGAAACAGCCACAGAACTCCACTCCCCTTCACTTCAAGGTAAATGACCGTTCTCTCTCCTACCATCAACCCGTCTGGGAAGAAAAGGCTTCACATGCCTTGTGGTCTAATAAAGTTTATAGATACTCTTTAATTGGGTATGAAAAGGAGGATGTAGGAGGAACCTAGGCCAGCGCCTTCTTCACTGACGCTCTTTAGTTCCTTTCCAGTTGCATTTTCCCAAACTGCATTGTGGCAGTCCCGTACGAGGTCTTGTCAGTGAGTGACCACTGAACTGCAGAGCATGAGTAGGGATAGAACTCTGCCTTTCTGGCTTGAGTAATAGAAAGCTCTTTTGAGTCACCCTGTGGTGTGTACAAAGAAGATTTTCCTTTGTTTTCAGGTGCCTGCTGTGCCCCTCCTCCCAATAGTGAGCATCTTTGTGAATGTTTATCTTATGATGCAGATGACAGCTGGTACCTGGGCCCGATTTGGGGTTTGGATGCTGATCGGTAGGTATCTACTCTGGAAGAGTAAGCCCCTTGGGTGTCCACTCCCAACTTCTTTTGTTCTTGATCTCTACTAGGCGGTGGTCATAACTTCCCCACCTCACGGCTGCCTTTCTCCTTTAGGATTTGTTATCTACTTCAGCTACGGGATCCAGCACAGCCTGGAAGAGTTTAAGAATGACCGACCCCTATCCAAGTCCAGAACCAGAACTGTCGACCTTGATCTCAGTAGATCTGTAGACTTTGATCTCAGCAGTCCTTGTATTCACACATTTTGACACACCTGATTCTACCTGGTTCCCCCCCACAATAATGGAGAGTTCTCTTGATCCCGCCGAAAGCCGGCTCTCCCATGTGATGTTGGTGGGGGATGCTAATATAGAGCTCTGTATCTATTGTGGAGTCAAGGGTGTGTCACTGCTGCTTTTCATCTCTCTCTCTCTCTTTTTTTTAACTTGTCTACTTTTAAATGGTTTCTGTAGTTGTATATGGCCTTTTAAATAAATATTAAAGGAAAGTGAAAAGAAAAGAAGCTGTTGTTCTTTGCTTGCTAGACTTGATGGAGAGCCTGACTTTTAAGGCTGGAGCGTTTGAAAGGAGCACCTTTTGTGTCTCTTCAGTCATCACAAAATGATCTGCTGTTCCTGGTTGTACTTTTCATGGACTCAGGTTTGAGGAGGGAATTGTTAAGTAGCCCTCCACGCAGACTAGTCGTGCTTAAAGGATTGAGCTTGCCGTATAGTTTTTCCTTGCTCCCTTAAGATTATTAGACTGTGCAGACGAAGACAGCACTACTCAGCACTGGGATTTGGGGGTGGGCTCTGACCTCAACACTGGCATTGGTTAGGGCCTTGCTGAAACCCTTGTTTTTTGTTTTACTCCTTCTAGTTGCATCAGTTCCAGACTCCTGTGATTGATTAGGGACCAATAATTTCGGCTGGGTTCTTGGCATTGCTGGGAGGGGAGGGGAGGGGAGGACAGTAGAGGGGTTTCCTGAAGGACTGTGTACATGCAAGGACATTGCTACAGAACAGAGAGAAACAGAGGTCCAAGGTCTGCCAAGACCAAGAAGCATGAATTAATCCATTTATGCACCAAACATGTACAATGCTAGACCCTGTTTCGGGTACTGATGATACAACTATGAAGAAGACAATCTCTTCCCTCAAGGGACTCCCGCTCTACTGTGGAGACAAACAGGTAAACGTGACTACACAAGAATGATTTGCATGGAGGAGGCACAAAGAAGGACATGCTTACCAGAGTGTGGAGTAGGTGCTTAAGCAAACTGAGGGGAGCACTTGACTGTCAGTGAACAGTATGTAGAACATCACGGAAATATGAAAGGAGACTCTCCTTGGGGTGTGGCATACAGTTTGAATGTGTCTGGAAAGTAGCACATGTCATTGCAAAAGGTAACAGACCAAACTCACAGCCTTGTATAAGGTATCACATACGGAGGGAAGGGGTAGAATGCATGGCGGGAAGGGGTAGGGAGTTACAAAGATTACAAAGAGCATGATGCTCGGGTTTGTTAGTGTGGCAGCAGCAAGGAGGATGGCTTGAAAGAGCTTGGGGGAAGTAAGGGCAGGGAGATAATGTCTCCTGCTTATTATGCGAGTTATTCTGTGTTCAATCTCATTTTGCCCTTTCAATAATGTTAGGAAGGAGATGTGAAATGACAAGTACTGTTTATAGATATGAGAACAAGTTTTAGATAAGAAATCAGCTCTAGGTTATGGAGAGGTCAGGGCCAGCCCAAACCCAGGTTTACGGTAGGTAGAGCTCAGTGGTAGGGCACTTGCTGGGGTAACATGAAGCTTGGGTTTGATTCCCAGCACCAAAAATAAAACAAAGATCCAGTTTGGTCTAACTGGCCTATGCTCTTTAACCACTGTGCAGTTGTTTTTGTCTGTTTTGAGACAAAGTCTCTGTGTTCACGGTGGCCTTAAACTCACCATGTAGCCCAAGCTGGCCTTAAATTCACGTTGCTCTTCCTGCCTCAGTCTCCTGCGTAGTGGGGTTACAGGCGTGTGCCACCCCTTGTGGCACAACTGGCAATACTTATTAAGAAAGGGCACTGTGGTCATTTGGGCAAAATACTTCAGGGATTTTGGTCAGTTGGATGTAGGGGGTAAGAAAGAAATGGGTACCTGGGTGTGGTGGTGCATGCCTATAAGCCTAGCACTCTGGAAGTCTGAGGCAGGAGGATTGCAAGTTTGAGCCCAGCCTAGGCAATTTAGCGAGAACTTGTCTCAAAATTAAAAAAAAAAAAAGCAGGCTAGATAGGTAGCTCAGCAGTGCAAAGGCCTTGGGTTCAATCCCCAATACTAGAAAAAAATTGGTGACTGACTTCTTAGAAAATTTCTGAGTGAATGATCAAATCATGAACCAAGATAAGGAACGTAAAAAGAAGAGAACATTGGGGGTAAGATGAACTCAGTTCCACGTGTGCTACATTTGCAAACATACTCATGAGTTTAGCTTCATACAGGTGAAGGTAGTCAATGGCTGGACCTTGGAGCTAGAAGACCGGGACACAAGTATAGATTTAGGAGTCATCAACTCAAGAGACAGAGTATGTGCTACAAGTTGTGTGGAGCCAAAGGGCACCTTGGGACAAAGTAAAAAATAAGACTTGCAGCACATATTGTGTGGTGTCCTTTATACACGATGAGCCCGTACAAATCAATACAGAAGGCAGGAGCAACCTGACAGAAAAATGAGTAAAGAATCTCAGTAGTTTCTAGAAAAATAATATAAGCTGGGAATGGTGGCACATGCCTGAAATGTCAGTTACTCCAGAGGCTGAGATAGAAGGACCATGAGTGCAAGCCTGCCCAGGCTGAGTAGCAAGACTCCGGCTCAAATACAAAAAGCGTATAAAGCAAATACAATAAAAAGATGCTCAATCTCAAGAAAACAAATGTAAATCAAAACAACCACAAAATCTGAGATCTTACAGGATGGGAAAAAGATTAAGTGCTAAACACTGACAAAAGTGACGGTCAACAGTCTCATGAATGGTAGGGCCCTATGTGCTTGTAGCTTTTGTGGTGGGTAGTTTGATGGAAGAATTAAAACCACATTTTTTTCTGTTCTGGGGATTGAATCCATGGCCTCACGTACACTAGACAACCACTGAACTACATGCTGGCCCCACACAATCTTTTTGGTCTAACAATTCCAATTAAAATAATTTTTAAAATTTACATATATACGTTATATTTTGGTGCTGGGGATTGAACCCAGGGTCTCATAATACTGAATGCATGGACTTTACCACTGAACTATACCCTCAGTCCCTAATGAGACACTATTAATAATAGCGTACTCTCAGGGTGGTGGCGCACACCTGTATGTAATTCCAGCTCTCAGGGAGCTGAGGCAGGAGGATCACTGTCAGTTTGAGGCAAGTCTGGGCTACGTAGTGAGTTCAAGGCCAGCCTGGACTACATAGTGAGACACTGTCTCAAAAAAAAAGCGGCATAAAACTTGGAAGTTACCTAATGTGCATCAGCGAGAAGTTAGTTAATAAAATACATTAATTTCATGGCTGGGGTATAGCTCAATGGAAAGAGCACTTACCTAGCATGTGGGAGGCCCTGGGGAGGGAAGGGGGAGGGAGGGAGGGGGAGGGAGAGAGAGAGAGAGAGAGAGAGAGAGAGAGAGAGAGAGAGAGAGAGAGAGAGAGAGAGAGAGGGGGAGAGAGAATATGAATTGTCTGTGCCAATAGGTGATACAGATCTTGAGCCAGGCATGGTAGCACATGCCTGTAATCTCAGCACTCTGGGAGGCTGAGGCAGAAGGATCGCAAGTTTGAGCCCAGCTTAGGCAATTTAGCAAGACCCTGTCTCAAAATAGTAAGAAAGGGCTGGGGATGTAGCTCAGTGAGAAGGCTCCATCCATGTTCATTCCATGCACGAGAAGAAAAAAGTAGGCTCTTAAAGATAATCTGTTAATTTACTCTCCTACTAGCCTGTTTTGAAACTGTTTTATTGTTATTTAAAATTTTTCTCTTTAAAATAAAAAAGATACCCTGTTAAGTAAAAACAAAACAAAATGAAACCCCAGTGTGCAGAATATTTATGAAAGAAAAAAGGGAATATACATAATTTTTTTCTGAAAACATATATAAGAAGCTATTGATCCCTGGTTTCTCTTCTTTATTTGTGCAATTTTAATAGAGAATATTTAAATAAAAACAAAACAACTCCTCACTGATTTTTTTCAGTATGGCTGATTGAACCCAGAGGTGGTCTACCACACAGCTAAATTTCCTGGACTGTTCTTGAACTTGCAATCCACCTGCCTCAGCCTCATGGAGTAGCTGGGATTACAATGTGTGCCACAGTGACTGGCGAACTCCTCATTCTTTAAGCTTTTTTGGAAAGGTGCTGAGGATGGGACCCATGGCCTCGTGTGTACTAGGCAAGTGTTCTACCACTGAGCTACACTCCTGGCTAAATATACTTGTTTTAAAAAGAAAATAAAGTTGGGGGTGGTGTTGCAACCTACAATCCTGGCCTTTGGAAGGCTGAGACAGGAGGGTAGTGAGTTCAAGGCCAGCCTGGGCAATTTAGCAAGACTGTAAAAATTTTTTTGAAAAATATATTTACCACTATCATGCATGGACAATGAAGTATTTTTCTAATACAGAGTAAAGTAAATATCCAGCTCTTTAAAATATTTGGCTATGCAATACTTAAAACAGTCACACATACCACTATGTAGAAACCTTCATGCAGCGAAGACAGTAAATAATCTCTGTAAGGCACTGTACTTGAAGACAGAGTAGAAAATTGCTTTCGGCATGGTCTAATCTTGATCTCCTTAAGGTGGCAGAGATAAAAAATTGACTCAAATAAGTAAAAAGGCACAAAGTATGAAAAAAAGTGTCCTCAGAGACAGAGAGTGTTGCATAGAGTATCATGAGGGTTCATGGAAGGGAATTCTCCAGGGAATTCTGGGAAGTATTCATGGAGGCCAAGGCTTTTTAAAAAGCTGAGGCTTAAAGGATAGGCAAAATGTGTCAATTCAGATCATTCCAGGAGGAGGGAAATTTGTCCATGAAGGCAAGAAGATGTGAAAGCAGTTTATAATTCAATTTGCCTGGATTCTCTCCCTGTGTGTGTGTGTGTGTGTGTGTGTGTGTGTGTGTGTATGTGTGTGTATGTGTGTGTGTGTGTGTGTGTTGAGACAGGATCTTGCCAAGTTGCCCAGGCTGGTCAGAACTTGTTATCCTTCTTCAGCCTTTTGAGCAGCTGGGACTACAGGTGTGCCACGACACCTAGCTTTACCCTAGTTTTTTTTTTTGCTGTTTGTTTTGGGGTTTTTTGCAGTACTGGGGATGGAACCCAGGGCATTTATTCTGAGGTACAGTTCCAGCCCTTAAAAAATTTTATTTTTTGGGAGAAGGTCTTGCTAAGTCACTAAGTTGCACAAGCTGGCCTTGAACTTGCATCCTCCTGCCTCAGCCTTCCAGAGTGCTGGGATTACAGTCATGAATCAC